CAAATGCTTTCTCTCTTTCCTCGAGGTTAATTTCCGCCTCGTTGAGATTTCCTTCCCATTCCTGAAGGGCATCATGCCGTTCGTTAAGACTTAACTCTCGTCGATCGAGGTTTGACTTCCGCTCGAGGACGGTGGTCACCTGATCGTCGAGTTCCGCCTCACGTTCATCAAGTTCCTCCTCCCGCTCATCAAGGGATGTCACTCGCTCCTCAAGAGCCGCCTTTTGGTCCTCAAGAGCCGCCTTTTGGTCCTCAAGAGCCGCCTTTTGGTCCTCAAGAGCCGCCTTTTGTTCTTCGAGTGTTGACTTTTGCTCTTCAAACATTACCTTTTGCTCTTCAAGTGTTGTCCTCTGAAGATCAAGGGCTGCATTTCGCTCGTCAAGGCTCTTCTCCCGCTCGGCAATCATTGTCTTCTGCACTTCGATAGCGACCTTCTGGGTGTCAAGTTTGCTCTCCCATTCAACGAGATCTGTTCCTTTCTGTTCAAAAGCCGCCTTCTGATCGTTAAGGTTTGATTCGCGCTCATCGAGTGTTTTCTTCTGATCGACAAGATTTTGCATCTGTTGGATAATGGTTGTCTGCTGCTCTATAACCGTCGACCCCCGTTGGGTAATGGTATCACCCTGCTTGATAATGGCTGCCTCCTGCTCGATAATGTATGCTTCCCGTTTTTCAAGACTTAACTTCTGCTCTTCAAAAATTTTCTCGCGCTCCTCAAGGCTCGCTTTCTGTACGTTGATAACAATTTGTCGATCGTCAAGCTCCTTTGACCTTTGCTCAATAGACATTTCTGTTGGCTCGCCTTCGACGACAATCGGAGTTGAGGCTGCAATGATTAGTGCTTCCCGCTCGTCAAGACTCTTAGATCTTTCCTCGATAATCTTTTCGAGTGAGATTTCCTGCGCTTGCAATGCTGTCCACTTCTCCTCCACCTCTTTCCCTCTGACCTCAAACGCCTTGATCTCCTCCGCATGATCTCTCTTTAAGTTGGAAATAAACTCCTCCCTTTCAGCGGCTTCCTCGTCCATCTTGTCGACCTGTTCTTCAAGTTCCACGATCCTGTAATGAGCCCTGTCAACTTCATTGTAGATGCTGTCAAGCTCCTGTGTCTTTCGGTCGAGCTCCACATAGGTTCGCTCCAACTCGGCGAGCTTCTCTTCAATCTCAAGCCCAAGAATATCAAGGCGTTCGACCTGTTTTTCGGATTCTTGGTGTAGTTGTTGTTGTTCTTCTTTTGACTCTTGTTCCTGGATTTCTTGAGTGTCATCAATGTCGACCTGAACTCCCATTTCATGATACGCTGTCATTTCGTTTTCTTCCTCTTGATCATTCTCCTCTACTGCGGATTGCAACCCATTGTCTGACCCATTCGCCGAGATCGCAGTGTCTTCAGCGAAGGAAAAGTCGGCGGTGCGGTCATCCTCATCGTACTCATCATATTCTTCGAGACCCTCCTCGTCATCCTCATCGTCGTCAAAATTCAATTCATCTGCCAAGCTCTTTCCAGCGTTGGGGGCCACTGAAAACCTGATGCCTAATCGCTCTGCCTCGTCGTCGCCCATCTTCCAGCTAGTTGGTCGGCCAATGAAGCTATCCCGCATACTTTCCTGGATACTAGCTGCATCACTCTGCTCGATTTCTGACTGATTTGCATCTTCGTGATCCTCTATTATCTCAGGAGGCGGCGGCTGAGGCGGTGGCAGAGAATTCGTTGCTGCTACTTCGTCCAGAACAGATTTCAGTCGCCCTTCAGCGACATGTACTTTTCTTTCAAGTGCCCTTTTTATAGCTTCAAACTCCTCCCTCTCTTGTTCAGCCTCCTTCTTCATCCGCTCTACATCCTCTTCAGCTGCACGCCTTGATTTGGTCAACCGCTCAACCTGCCTTTTGAGCTCGGCCACAGTATTAACAGCCTCATCCCTTTCTTTCGCTACAATCTCCACGGCATCATCGTTCTCGGCCCTTGCCAGCTGACGCTTGATGTCTCTAGCCTCCCGTTGCGCCGTGACAGCATTAGTTGCTGCCGTCTCATGTTCATTTCGAGCTTCGTGCAGGTCCTCTTCTAGTGTATTGACCCAATTTGACTTTGCTTCCAATTCACGCCGTAATGAAAGAATCTCCGCGACGAGGTTGGCATGTAGTGTCGGTGTGAATCGTCGGGGGTCGAGAATTGATATTGTCTCATCGAACGCGAGTTGGTGATGATGGCTGTGCTGCTGGTGCCCGGTGTTTATACGGTGTAGCGGGGAAGCCCGGCCCCCATTTGTAGCCGGAGGACTGCCGGAGGCCGAGTATCCAGACGGCGTGGGTGAAGGCGTTGCATGCCGACTGTGGTGCCGGGACGGGTGGGGCGTTCGGAAGGGTGTGGGTGAAGGCGTCGGTAAAGGTGCGTCTGTGGCATAATCTGTATACTCCTCATCGGAATCGTAGTCAACAGTCAAGTGGTCACCCATTGTGGCGTAGCGTTCGGTATTAATCTGAGCAGATCAATCAAGAACTGCTTGTTGAAAAATGGTGTATTGAGATAGTCGAAGCTTGACGGTAGGTGGGTGGGTAGGGAAGGAGATTTATATAAACAGAAAAAACTTTTCTAGTAGGCCGTGTTCGTGAAATTTTAAGAAATGTAGCTATCCAGTCTACTCTATTCAGGCAGCAGATCTTTTTTATTCTTATTCGTAAAATCAGAGCTTTCGAAGGGGGGGCGTTGCGGAGCTAAAAGAAAGAATAAAATTGTGTCGTGATGCCTTTCGTTCACGGTCCCGGTATAGTAGAAATTGATGAACGCTTGGATGACAATCCGGTCCCAGACGTGAGACGAACTACTCGCATGATGCATCAGTCGATCTGTACATTGAAGGGGAGATCAATAGAGCCAACTGCTGTATTACCTATTCAACTCAATTGAACTTCGGGGGTGCAACAAAGATGGCAAAAAAGAATAACTAAATGAAGGTGCGTTCTAGCCGTCGAAAGGGAATTAAACAAGACTCGAACCAAGAGAAGAACTGTCGAAAGCAGCAATAAACACAAGCTATCGACGACCCAGGTAGAGAGTAAAAGAGAGAGAGGTAGGTGGTAGTAGAGAGAGGGCGAGAAGTAGAATGAATAGAGAAGCTGCAGCCTCCCGATGGCGACGGGATGGAGATCGGACCTGTTCCTTTCCCCCCCGTTGTGTCTCCGTTAGCTTTTCTGTAGCTGCCCGTCCGTCCGTGAAATAAGACTCTCCAAACTAGGCTGGGTCTACTAACTGCAATCGAATTCGGGGGTGGCTCTTATTTTATTTTTCTATTTCAGTAGTAGGGTAGCAATTAAGCTGTTGCTGTCGTCAACAACAACGACGAATAAAGCAGCGTCGGCATACCACTTTGTAACCCTCTACGCTTCGGGAATATTGTTTCTCTTATTTCGTGGGGTTGTGGTCGTCGTTAGGAACTTGGAGTGATAGTAGTGATGTTTACAGTTCGGACCGCAGGGTGGCTGCAGGGGGAAGCGGAGGAGCGTTTGATCCTCGACAAGCAGACAGCCAGCAGCGAGTTTCCGGAGGAGCACGGATAACACACCAGGTTCTATTCGCTCGAAACAGACGCGCGCCTGAGATGTGGGAGGGGTATAATATGCAATTGATGGACTTGGAGGTAGCAGGTGGACTGGAAGGCTTGCTACCTAGCTAGCTATGTAGAGTATGTATGTAAGGTACCAGCAACCCCCCTGGGGAAGAGCAGATGGCAGTCCGGGATTAGAGGGAGCTTTCGAGAAAGCTAGTGGTTTCAGGAGCCACTGAATAAAGGTATTTACAGAGTGAGGAGGCCGAGAGGAGGCTGAGGGGGGAGGCTGAAGGAGTGGGAGGGGGAGAGTGTAGAAAGGAGCGGCGAGTATCGTGTGGGAGAACGACTGGGTGGGAGGGAGGGAGTGAGTAGGAGGGAGGGGGCGGAGGGGGCAAAAGATGATAGATAGGAGCTGGGGGGGGGGGGGGGGGGGGAAGGTCAATATGACGATACTAAAGGCGGAGGAGGAGGTTTGAGATGTCTGTCCCCAAGCTGATGATGATGTTTCCTCAGTAGGCCAATCCCAATTGTGCTACGAGTTTATTCCGAATGGATGGAATACCTTCTCCGGGACCCTCTGAACGCTCACTCGTTCGAATAAACTGCTATGTAGGTACTCGCTGCTGCTCTCCCGGTGATGCCAAAGCTCGACGATGGGGATGCATGCAATGCACTGAGCAAAAAAAGAGATCTGCTGCCTTCGAGAAAGGGGCGTTCCCTATCACCTCTTCCCAAAAGAAGCCAAAAAATAATATTATTTCATCTTCCCCCATCCCATCCCTCACATCCATCTATGTAATTCCTAACGCTAACCATATCCCGTGGGGGGGGTGGGTGTGTATGGTTGTAGGGATGAATGGTGGGCCATATCATAGGTAGGGGAGTCGAGAGGTTACATGAAGAGAAAAAACGAACAAAAAGAATTTTTGGCGAACCTGCACGGTGCTAGCTAGTGCCCGGGAGAAACAGGGGTTCGACTTGTTCCTAGTTAGAGGGTGGCCCGCCCGAGAAGAGAGAGATGGACAGGGTGCTCCTTGCTCTCTGGGAGAAGGGCTTTCCCTTTCCAGTTCAACTTGCTGGGGATGCTTTCTTCTTTGGGCCTTGACAGGACGGGATTGGAGATGAAGCCAACGATCAGTCAGCTGTGGTGCCGTCCGCTAGGTAACCAGCTCCTAAGCAAGGGCACAAGTGCTCTCGAGTCTCAAGCTGATCTGCCTGTATCTAAGTGCATCTTGGCCCAGCTAAACATCGTAGAGAACTTTTCTTTGACAGATGATGATGATGGTCAGCATGTGAAGTCTGCAGTGGCGAAACCCAAGAACTAACATATGCCACTGCCATTGGCAAGGTTGAGGTTCGAACGAAACCCCAATTGAAGTAGCATTGATTCTCTAAATATGTCCTGTCCACACAGAAGCATCAGACGAACAGTGCACGCAATCATACTCGTACCCACAGGCCTCTCCACGATGAGCATTGTCCCAGACCAGCTGCCAACCCGTCTCCTTCTCCAAGCCTCGCCGAACGAATCCGTGCGTCCCAGGCCTCTGGTTCTAAGCTTCCCTTCCTTCCTTCCTTCCTTCCCTCCCTTCCCGATAATGGATAATGCGTTCATGAGTTCTTGAGTTCCAGCTCTCGGGAACCCCATCTTGACAAGAAAACCCCAAGACTCCATGGACCCAATCTCAGACAACTCTATCATGAACAGTAATCAACCTCGGCACATCATGAGATAACTACATGTACTCTACTTTAGTTTAACTCACGCACGCACGCACGCAATATTTACGCCTGCCCAACACAGGGGGACGACGTGGAAGTTATCAAAAGACATCAAATAAATACGGAGATAACGTGACTCCGCGTCCTGCAGCCTGGGCGGAGAGAAAAAAAAGAAGCAACTCAAGGCAAATCCCACCCCCAAGTCTCGGCTATGTGTCCGTGCGTTCTTCCAATCCCATCTTGCCTGGCCTCATCTTCTTCTTTTCATCCCAGAACCCTGTGGCACCCACCAACTCAACCAACAGAAACGCCGAATAGGAAACAAAAAAATAACGGCGGCACACACCTCGGCCACACGGACGGACGAGTCGGAAATAACCCGTTCGAAATTTGATGGCTCATCATCTCATCTCGCCCAATTGATAGGTTAACCACTCTAGTTAAATTGGTGGTATGTAGTTCTGCCCCTGATGACCGATGACCGATGATAGAATGAAACGAAACGAGACAGAGTGGGAAAAAGCAGTGAAAACCCAAGTGCCATTTGTGTTAGTTGTACGATGGCTACTACATAATATAAGTAGTTTGGCCGAACCGTCCATGATCCTATCACCCAATCAACATACTGGAGTGATGGCAGGCCGAAACAAAACTACATGAAGCCGCGATAAATAACTTTTCATAACGAACGCCAACTCTAATCGGAGTCGGTACACAGATAACTAAATTTAACACATTTACATCCTCAGGTACTAGGTACTCGAGTCTCGAGTATCACAGTTAATATACATGCCCATATATGGCCCCTCCTGCATCTCGGAGAATTATTACCCCCAAGAACCTTCATAGGGGGTAGGGCAGCTCGCGGTAGATGCAGTTGGAATAAATAACAGCATGAACTAGGGCTCCCTGAACAAGGACAAGGACAAGGACAAGGACGGCCGGTATCCACACCCTGCCCTGCAGCCCGGGCCTGCTGCTCGCTTAGGTAGTCACGATAAGCTTCCCGGGGAAAGAAAGGTCGCTTTTTTTGCCTGATTTATGGAGAGGAAGTCACCTCCGACAATTTATCTTCGTGGATAGATAAATACCTATAGTACTTAGTGGAGGACGTCAATTCCACAAAAAGTCATTGAAACATGAAACACTAATATTTACTCAGTCACACTCATCAAGAAGAAATAATGGCATTACTTACTTACACCTATAACAAGATCATATATAAATATAAATCCTTGCTTCTAAAGTGTCACACATGCACAAATAGGAGTAGATGTGCATATCAGTGGTACCTGCCGCTTAAATATTAAGAAAAGGAAAGAACATTGTTCCACCGTTTCCACCGTTTCGCCGCGCCGTACGCAGCAGAATTTTGGAATTTTGCCCGTTTCATGTCAGGACAACAACTTTAATAAACATTGAAGAAGGAAGTTGGGCCGCATTTGTGCTCTCACACACACAACCCGCACTGCATACCGCGATACCAAAGATCTGGCTACCCGCCTCGCGACGGCCGGTGATTTGGAGCCGAAATATTATCTGCGAGTGACGTACTTACACGTACTTTTATCTAAACCGTATAGTATGGCAACCACCCCCCATGATGGTAAAAACATCATACGACTGCGCTGCATGCACGCGGCCGTTTCAACGGCTGGCCTGTGGCGATGTCGTGTGCTATATCGAGATGCGTAATTTCCGATTGAAAGAAATCAACAATTAGACTTACAGGTGTCGATATCGTTCTGTATATACGGCCATATATGTGCCTACTAGGTATTGTTATTGGATCCTAGGACCTAAGAATTGCGGAGGCCGGGGGTGCTGTTAATTGGTGAACCTTGTAGATCTTTGGCTAGCCACTGCTAAGATCTGAAGTGGCGCGTTTATTACAATCACGACAAGTCGTTCGGTCGGGATACCTAGGTAAATACCTAGACATGGTACGGCACGGTACCTGTGGAACATACAAACAACGGGCAGAACAGGATACCGAACCGGTTCGGTCGCGAAGAACCTTGATATTGCGATGTGGCACTGCGCACACCTCTTCATAAAGGATCAACACTCATATGAATGAGTGGAAATTAAGGGACTGTGTGCTTGTGGAATTCTCACTCATGTTGCTAGGCGAGTGATATGACATGAAGCATCGTGCAAGCTCACCATGAGCGCGCACTTGTTCCCACTTGGACTGCATTATCTACGCCACCTCGTTTCGCCCAGGAAGATCTTCCTGGGCAGCTGAGATCATTGGTTGGCTACTTTCACTAGTTAGCCCCAGAAATACATAAGCACTAGTTGAAATGGTCATGTATGAAGGGGCCTGAAAAGGAAAACCCAGGGCATGCATATGACATGATTAGAGGCTCGGGCAAAGCTTCACCACTGCACGGACCTTGGCTGCCTGCCTGGCGGTTATCGGTCACGGAAGTGCAGCCAAACCTAAAACCTTGGGCTTGGGTCGGATGCGAATGTAATGATTTGTCGGAGCCAGAGGAGGGGGGGGGGAATCACATGCTGTCGATGCCGATGACCTGAGCAGGCTAGGCGGAAAAAAACACGCAAGTACTTCGCCTTAGTGAGGAAACTGGAGGAAAGAAGGGTCCATCGATCTATGATGATAAACATAGTTTCCATAAGCCATCTTGTTTATTCTAAGCCTATCGATCACAGAAACCTCCGCATTTCTGACACCCCCGCGTTTCGGTATGTTTCCGGCTGTGGTCATGGATTCTCACTCGTTACATCATCCAATCGGATTCTCACCTGAATAGTTTCCCCACAAAAAGCCCCACATATGATGACTCGTTATCGTAGAGGTGTTTGGAAAGAATTCGGTTGTACGGTTGATATTAACAGTGACTCGAGGGATGAGTCCGCGCTTGTGCATGATGTAGGCACAGTAAGTGCAGTTGCAACTAGTGAGCCAATCGACATGCATCATTCATCCGGGCTACTGAACTCTGGATAACTGTCAAGATGGAGGCTTTGTAGTACTTATGCAGCGGTTAGGTGCGTGATGAGAGTGGTGCGGAACCTTCGTTATTAGGAGGGGTCAACGATCAGTATGCATATTGTTTGGTATGCGCGGATCCCGCGTATCATTTCGTGGCCACGCATTTGTATTCACGGCGCATAAGTTTGACATAATCTGAGCCTGAGATATTTTAAAGTCAGAGAAGGAAGGCTCTTCTGAAGTTGCAGATATAGAAACACGAGGGGCTGGTATATATCGTATTGACATTGCCACCAATGGCTCACCGAGAGGAATAGCTTAGGGATTCACTGGGCAAAACTCCCCGCGACCATCAAACTCGTGCCGACGCATGATGCCGGAGACCCGCCTCGGGTGATGGGGTTCGCATGGCGCGCGGAGTTGATCAGCTCAGGTCTGTTGGAGGATATCTTGGCCCGCCCGATGTGCTGCAAATTCCGCTGGCTTTAGATTTGTACCTATCAGAGGGAGAGAACGTGATTTTCTAGAGGAACTCCGAGTTTCAGTTTTAGTTCTTAGCTTTGAACCGCAGCCGTGGTGTTTGATTGTTTGTCTTGTGGTTGGGTTTTATGTTGATCGACTACAGAAACAATGAGAGTCCCCCCTAACATCGATGACGCAGAAGCCTGTCGATGTGCATAGGGAGTAACCCTAAGATGGAAAGACTAGTTTCAACAGTCTCAATTGATTCTCTTCTCTTTACCAAGGTCTAGAATGGTTTCTCATGTATGGAATTCCGCTTTTTCTTCTCGGTTTCACTCGCTCCCTTTAAAGCGTCCTTCTAGTTCCACAATCTGGTTTTCATCGCAGAGCATGCGAGAGTAAGAGACTAAGTAGCTGTATATTAATATTGAATGGCAATCTCACGTATAATACATGGGCCGGAAAGTGCGCAATTAAGGTTATGAATTGTGTGGTAATGAGGGATGTTCAAATTAAGATGCTTTCTAGACATAAGTAGTTCGCCGGACTTATGTAGTTTCTGATATGTCGCATCTTAAGTGAATTGTTCATATATAACGCTCTGCCATAGCAGATTGAATACCTGCCAGAACTAGCATTCAAACTCCACCGGCACCTCTTCTGTGTTGATAGTACATGTGTGCTGTGATAATATGCCATTATCCACTGCTACCCTCGCCGTGTTGGCAGCCCGCTTTGGGCTGATATGGCAGGTAAATTATATAACGAACCAAACTTTGAAGTAAAGTCCAGAAATAGAGCGATCGAGCTTTATTATGTAAAGCTCGCCAAAAAAAAAATCAGTAACGTGTGTATGTACGCAGGGAAAGCAGATATAACGCGCCAGCCATAAGTACCGAACCACTCTCCATGTTCTTAAATTGAAGTCATGAGATATCACTCGCGTCGCGAACTCATTTGGTTTTCGAGCCGGGGGTAGAAGAAGCTGGATCTACTATGTTTTTAATAAGCCGTAGAGTAAAGACAATACATAGATACGTGTATCTTTCGAAAGATTAAATTTCTTCAATATCATCTTTCTTTATAATACGTGACGGTGACGCGGCGGCTGCGGCAGGACAGCGCCGGGAGTGTGGCCCACGAGGGGGCTCGAGGCGAAATTTGAGAGTGCCCTCGAGGTAAGAACAGGTAATGTCCTTGGGCACCGGTACCTTGTCCTTCTAGACTACTGTACAGCTGTCCTTGTATGTCCTCGTCGGCCACACTGCATGAGATTCAACCCGACGTCATTCCCCAGATCACAAAAAAGCCCGACAAACACACAATCCCCCGCTAGTCAAACATTCATACATCTATCTACATCTCTACAGACCAGACCGCCTGCCAACAATGGGATGCATTCATTCGCGCCCCTTATTCACACGCAAGTTCTGCGTCACCTGCGGTGATGACATCCCCATCCACCTGCAACTGAAGACAAATTCCCACTGCGAGAAAATCGTTTGTATGTTTCTAGAGCCTTGCGGCGCTATCGTTTCGTCACGGCCTAAACTAACGTGTTACTAGGCAAGGGTGGAGATTACATGCGCAGGGTACAGGCCCAGAAGGGGAGGGAGATGGCGAGGTTTGAGTCTTATGAGTTTACGTTTCTATGATATGATCTGCGCACCGGTTTCTTCGGATTTGCTTTGTATTTGACAAAAATACGAGGAGAGAAAGTCTTGTAGTTGGAGAACATAGAGAGAGTGTTTTATATCTTTTACGAATGTGCCATTACTCCATCCGGACCCACGCCGCATCATACATCCAATATCTTACTACCAATTATCGGCCACAGAGAAACAAAAACGCAATAGAAAAACCAATAAAGCAGATGGACGTTCCCCTAGAACAACACAATCAATGCAAAAGCAAAAAGCGCAATCCCAAGCTGTTGACCAAACTCTCCACGAACCGGAGAGGACCCCCCCGTGAATTCTGTTGGCGGAGGGGTGGTGGCAATGACAAGGGAAGTGGCACTGGTGCTTCTGGTGGTGTTTGTTCGCGTCGTAGGGGTTATCTGTGAACATGTTAGGAAAGACGTTATCGAGATAGTGGATAAAATAATTCTTGAAGTAGGGGCACTCACAGCCTGCACTCTTGAGGATGTGGTACTGGTGGTACTACTTGAGATTCCTGCTAATAAAAATGAGGAGCTCGTGGGGGGAGTACCTAAGGAAGCACGGTAATTAGCTATAGCCTTATATATATAGGGTTACGGAGCAATCAAGTCATACTAGATGGAAGGACAGTTCTTGGAGTTGTTGTCGTCGATATTGTGGACGTTGTATTTCTAAACACCGTCTGCACCGCCGCCACCACCGTCGCCGTCACAATACCCGTAACCGTTGTGGTTGCAAACGAAGCCGTTACCTGGCACAACTGTAGGTCGCCGGACGTGTTGCAGAAAGGTGCCGATGAATCACTGGTGGCCGGGGTCATGGGTCAATGATATTTCTCACATGTTTTGCCAAAAAACCAAGATGTGAAGAAACATACCAGCAGAAACTACCGCCGCTGTTCCCACTGCTGCAGACAGGATTGTCGGCGTCGAGACAGCTCGCTACACTGTTGCATGTGCTTCTGGAATGGGGGGAGGTGGTTTGGTTAGCTAACTACAAAATTAATCGTGATGCATGGAAACGTTTTTCTATTTACCCTTGGGGACAACATGCTGGGTTGTTGTTTATAGATACACAGACTTCGTCCATACGGCAGGAAACTGTACAAAAACACATGTACTATTAGCGATCCCACGATATCATCTATACTATATCTCGAGCCAATCACATACCTCCCAAGTCATTATCACAACAGGGGCCTTGCGTTGCACATCCAGCACCACAAGGCGCTCCAAAGACACACGATGCCTGTGCTTGTCTTCCTACCAGATCATGCATCCGTCCTTTCCCTATGGCCGGTGCTGCTGCCATGGGCCCGAACTGGAACGACGGGATCGCGGTGCTGTAGTGGATATAGGCAACGACGAGAAGAATTGTTCGCTTCATGATGATTTTTGATATATTGCTGAATAGTTGTAAAAAAGATTGTAATCGATATTTTCGAAGGGGAATAAAGTGAGTGTGGTGTGAGATGGGGGGGTATTGTAATGTTATGTCTGAGTAGAGGATCTGGGGAACCAAAACGACAGAAATACTGCGTGAATAACCTCGAAACATGTTTGATGACGCATCAGTATTTCTGAGAAGTATTTCAAAATCGTTTTGGCCGGAGGGAACAAAGAAAATTACAAACTTGAATCAGTTTTGGCGTGCGTAAATATTGCGAAAGTGCCAACAAACGTTTAACTCCCAATCCGGTCATTTTTTTACTGATCAAAGAAACTTTCATAGAAAATTGGAAAACCATACGGCGACCAGCATTTCCAGCGAGTTTCTGAAGGTAAGGAACTAATTCGCTCAATTCGGAGAAGGATATAATGGATATTGGTCATTGGTGCATAAGAAACAAATTTATGAGGTTAATAAGATGGCTTCATTGCAATACCTCTTATATATCTGTCTTTTTGGCTTTCCTTGGCCATCTATTTCATTATTTCACCAGCCGCATGCGTCATACGTTTGTGGGTGATTCTACAGACTTTTGAGAAAGGGTTGATGGGATGGTCTCGCGATAATTATGCTTGTTTGCTCTGGGCATCCTCTTAGATGACTAAGAAAAAGCCAATACCGAATTATGTATGTCTCACCTAGGCCTAACTAGAGTACTCTACATGTATGCACTTTGCTGCAGTCTTCTGGTTGGAATCTAGATCAGAGCAAATGATTCCTATTGGATCTCGTGGCATTGATGTAAATGTAGTACATGCAGTGGTACCTAAGGGGATTTAATTACTTCATAGCCACTTGCAAAAAAATAAAATCTGATACTTCTCCAGTCTGCAGGTAGATCAGACAACAATATTCTACTAAGTTACATCAGACTATTGCATTAATAGCCAGTGGAGGGATTTCAACTGCACATACCTTTCAATTCAGAAATATACTGATATCTATTCGTTCATCCCCTGTAGATATTGACGTATTCCCTTTACAGCAAGTTCATGATCTTCCTCCTGAGATAATCCACTTATAACAACCACAGCAACAACACCCTCAACGCCCCTGACTCTAATTGGGAACCCTCCGCCATTTGCAGCATAATCCCCCTCACTCAACGCATATTTTGTTTCGAACGGCACTAGCGATGAGTCCATCTTTCTCTTCATGTAGTATGATGAACATCCAAAACGGAATACTGTGGCTTGCTTTCGTTTCACCCAGAAAGCGTTGTCTGGGGTTGTTCCAGGGCGGGAACATGCGTGGAAAAGGACCTGGCCCGCGTTCGACGAAGCGATGTGAATGACAACAGGCTTCTGGTGCTCCTGTGCTAATCCACGACAGATAACACCGAGGTCCCAAGCGACATCAGAGTTAAAAGTAGAAAACTGAAGCTCCTGCTCCTGAAGCTCGAGTTCCTTGAGCTATATATGCCGCGCACAAGGAATGTTAGATAGTTCCACAAGGACTAGGATATATCATTGATCAAACACTAACTGAAGTCATTATGAAATAAGTCTTCTAAAACCGATGATAGAAGCTGATATGAAGATAATAACTAGTGATGGTAATAGATATAAATGAAAGACGGAAGTTTATTATGTGCGGGGAATTCGAAAGATTAGTAATAATTAGGGCTTGCGCCAAGATAGGGGGTTATTTAATCTGAGCCGCACACAAAGTGGCTTCAACCTACATCTTCTTTCGCTCCGCCGACACAGTAGATGTCTTGACTCCGAACTTATTGTGTTGCTTCAAATCTAGATCCGAATATAAGGTTCGATCACCTCAATGGAATTGATCAGTCCAGCTCACGCAAACAAAAAATAAGGTAAATCAAGCCTATATTCAAACTTTATTTCCTTATTCTTCCTGCATGATGGATACTAGAACGGCTTCTGCTGCCTTTCTTACTTTACCTGCTGGCAGAAACCCATAACTATGGTTTATCCTCACTATTGGTGTAACCTTTTGTATGGCCATGCCCAGGTACCATCGAGAAGGCTACCAGAAGTCTGAATAAATTCAATTGACATCAGTTGGTTGCGCAATTGCACGCCATGAAGTTCGAGAGCTAATCTGACAAGAATACGGAGCTTTAAATCTAACGCCACTTGGCCTTAAATAACCTATTTTTATCATTCATATGCTAATTGGTTGTCCTCAGGCTTTTATGCCAACTTGCAGAGCTAAAGTTCACCTGTAGACACCCTATGTGCCTCCGAGAAACGCCGCTGCACATATATTCAAACATAAATCCTGATCAAAATGTATATATCTGATCAAGTAAGGCCCACTTTTGCCATTATCACTCCTAGCGAGTATTGGCATACGAGTCTGTCCCTAGTGCGTTAATATTCGGCGTATGTATTATTGGTTTCCATACTCAACCATATATCCTTCAAGTTATCAATGATAGGCAGAGCTTAATATACCTCAGCCCTTGCGGATCGCTTGCTCGCTGCACAGTGCACCGTCGATCTTCCCCTTGAAATCCACGTGAGTATCTCATATCTGCACATCAAGCCAACCGGAAATCAAAGAAGAGCAAATTTTCCAATTACAGAGAAACCTATCATAATTCTACCCTCTCGAAATCCCATCCCTACCAAACTTACAGCGTTCGGAGGGAGTAAAACCTGTGGTTTGCTAACAAATACCTCTCTCTAAATTCCATCCCTCCGATAATTCCAGCCGCGGGGGTGGAACTATGATAGGTTTTGCTGTATACTGTAATCAAAAAGAACCCGAACCCGCAAACTCTGCAGGCGAGAATCCTTTTTTCTTTTTTCCTTGCCGGAGGCGATCGAATGTGAAATAATTGTGTCAGCCGGCCGATTGGTGATATATCATGTTCAGGTTGAGCTTTGACCAGATACGTACACCCAATCTGAGAGACCGAATGGTCTTTAGGAAGAACCAATAGCTGATGGCCAGACTGCCATAAGCTGGCTTCAAAACCCTTCCGATAGGAGGCGAGAGATTGGGCGAGGATGTGCCTGAAGTGCGTCAGACCCAATTGCCGACATATCATGTTGATGACTTGGTAATATAAGATATCTTGTGCGATATATCGGACCCTTCTTGTGCAACGGAGGACTGTAGGAGGAAGGCATACAGGCATGTACTCCGAAGTATCGGATACAATCCTCTGCGCCGTGAGAGGGTTGGGTGCACAAATGACCAGAGATAGAGACATATCAATGACCGTGACTACGGAACGGGGTTTTTCGACGAAATATCCTCGCCATGACCACTTTGTATGTAATCGGTATTTTTTGTTTTTTTATTTTTCTTTGCTTGTGCATTTTGTGATATCCCATGGCTCGGGATCTCCTGTGAATCCCGAGAGCAGGAGTTCGCTTTAATTGCGTGGATTGATGGCTGGGTCCGGATATGAAATCGCACCTAGTGTCAACACAAATGAATTCCCCAACTTCCCAATTGGTCCAATAATTGGCTAGTGTTTTGATTACTAACTTTTTATTTGAGCTTCGAAAGCTTCGCGGTCCGTGTGAACATCATCACCGACTATAAATCCCCTACCCAACGACCAGGAGTTTATCGATTTTGAGTCGAACCCCGCGGAATGATTACCATCAGATATATATGCATACCCACTGATAACTGCCTGCACACAGTCCTCGATTTCGGAACTTGATGTCCTCTCTTTCTCTCCTTCCTTTAGAGTACCTACAATATCTAAGCCGGAAATCACTGCCTTCACATAGGCGTGATATGCCGATAAGTAGATCGGCATATTGATTCAGCAACCTTTTCTGAGACCTAAATCATGCCTTAGCGAGATACCCATTTGTATGTAGCCGTCGAAGATCAAACATCGGCGGGGCTTGACTTCTTAATTGGCCTCAGTCCCCCGAGACCGGGGAAGGAGTGCCCCACATCTGTTCAACTACTTCACTCTTTTCTTCTTTTCTGGGATGGGCGACCCAAAGGGAATGCTTAATTTTTTTTGCCGTACGTACGAATAAAAGAAAAAAAGGTTACTGTTGCATATATGTGCTCTATTTACCTGCGCGGGTACAACGCGTAAGATCTATATCGTTATTGTACCAGACACAGCAGCCCGTGGGGGTTTGGGGGGGGACTCCAATTGGAACTTCATACATTCCGGGGGAAGCTCAAACGTATCCACTTTTTTTTTTCTTTTCTTTTCTGTATTGCTGTAATGCAGCTAGTGGAGACAGTCTCCATGTTTTTCTAGAATAATTAATCATAAAAATGCTTAGGCAATGTCGGTATATTCCTTCTTAATTAACATAAGTCACTTTGCTTGATTCCCAAGCATATGTAGAGCCATGACGATTGAAGATGGCCTCTGGACAGCGCCGGGCGAGCGGACGGGCGGGCGAGGGGAAGAAC